ATTTACCTGAGATGATAAACAAAAGCAGACCTATAGCAAAGCAATTAAATAGCAATTTTCAATGCCAATTTAGTATGAAATCAGTTACACTGTGTAACTCTTGACCTCTAGCGGTTAAAAAACGAAACATTTTTTTGGTCGTGCTTCGGCTCTAAACACAGATATGCTTTACATGGCCTGCCTGTAAGAGAGCTACATTTATCTGTTCGATAAAATACCTCACTCACCTGTTGAGCAATAAAAACGCCATCTCCACCTTGCTTTTAAAGCATTTCAAATCCCTTAGTTTTTCTGAAAAACCAAGCCAAGGTTGATTCTGGTTGCATTACAAACTCTCGTTCTCCTTTGCCAGCAGACTCTCCTCTGAAGCCCAAACTCCAGACACAGCCATAGAAACTTTTCTCTGTTTACGGATATGACGAGTGACGTATTTACGCAATTTCCCGTGAAAACCACCCCGACACAGGTCAAGCCTTGTTTGAAGGTTTTTTTTGGCTGATTTTATGTTGTATATTGAGTCTCTTAAATGTGTATATAATAAGAAATGCACTGATACAATTGTATTTGCCAAAGAATTTAAAGGGTTAGTTCACCCAAAAAATGAAAATTAAGTCATTAATTACTCACCCCCATGCTGTACCAACCCCGTAAGACCTTCGTTCATCTTCGGAACACAAATAAAGATATTTTTGATTGAATCTGAGGGCTGGATCACTTTTCCATAGACAGCCTGAGGGACTGGCTCTTGACGGCCCAGAAAGTCATTAAAATAAAAGGTTTAAATATTCCATGTGCCTACAGTGGCTCAACTATAACTTTATCAAGCGTCGAGACTACTTTTAGTGCGAAAAAAAAAACGTAAATAACGACTTTATTCGACTTTCCATTACTTCCTTATGGGCGCATGCGCGAGAACTGAGACGAGACCGTTCTTCTTCGACTACTTTTTGTTACCGGCTGCTCACCGCTTAGGAGTTTTACCGCCCCCTACCGTATAAGATGACGTACTGCTTGTAAACAGAACGTTTTGCGCCTCCGGCTATATCAGTACTTCATCTTATACGGTAGGGGGCGGTAAAAACTCCTAAGCGGTGAGCAGCCGGTAACAAAAAGTAGTCGAAGAAGAACGGTCTCGTCTCAGTTCTCGCGCATGCGCCATAAGGAAGTAATGGAAAGTCGAATAAAGTCGTTATTTACGTTTTTTTTTTCGCACTAAAAGTAGTCTCGACGCTTGATAAAGTTATAGTTGAGCCACTGTAGGCACATGGAATATTTAAACCTTTTCTTTTAATGACTTTCTGGGCCGTCAAGAGGCAGTCCCTCAGGCTGTCTATGGAAGAGTGATACAGCCCTCAGATTCAATCAAAAATATCTTTATTTGTGTTCCGAAGATGAACGAAGGTCTTACGGGGTTGGTACAGCATGGGGGTGAGTAATTAATGACTTAATTTTCATTTTTGGGTGAACTAACCCTTTAAGATAATTGAACAGTGAAGATTTACATGATGTTTTTCTTTTTCTTCAATACTGATTACTGGTTTGTAACTTTTTCATAGCTATTATATTATACAAATAGTTAAACTTAGCCCCTTTATTTAAATTAGATATATTTTCATTTTTCTTTATATTTTAGTTTAATTCTTACTTATTTACACTCTTGAAGAAATGGTTCTATTTAGAACCAGAAATGGTTCCATCCCCCACTTCATATATGGAACTCCAAAATGGTTCTATATAGAACCATTTTTTTTTTTTTTGGTAAAAGGTTCTATTGGCCAAGTATGGAACCCCAGGGTTCTATATAGAACCCAGAGGAACCCTTTTTTAAGAGTGTATAGAACCTTTTAGGGGTTCCAAATACATAGCGCTGATAGAACCTTTTAAGCTTCTATATAGAACCTTTTCTTCTAAGAGTGTATATTAAACTAACTTTGGGAAATATTGGATGGTTGTCTTTTTGGATGTCACGTTATTGTTTGTAAGTCATGTCTAATGTCTAATTAAAAAAAAAAAAAAAAACCCAGACACAGGTCTAAAATATAAATAGGCCTACTTACCATAGTTAATCAGAAACAATAGCCTACGTTTTAGAACAAGGTGATTGATGATGTATTGATTATTTTTTTGATTAAACAAATGTACAGTGTAGGCTTACCTTTGTAAATGTTCTGGGTTAGGCCTACATGCCTCATGGAGAGCATCTGGGACAAATAGCTCAAAAAGACATTTAAATTCATCTTTCAGTTTGATAAAGTCAAAGGACGTTTAAGGGGCATTAATATAACCACAATATTTATGTTTAACGTGATGACATGAGGCCATAAAATCTGAGATTTTTTACAACTCGAATAACATATTTTGTTCAGAATAAGGAATAGAGAATAATAGGAAAATTAGTGCTTTTGCTTTTAAACTCTCCAAATATCTTGCCCCATAGACTTCCATTGAAAGTACTAGAACTACACGTTTTTGTTTGTGATCAACAGATCAAAATGATTGTTTTAAATGTATAAAAATGTACATAAATTAGCATATGCATATTATAATTTGAATTTTGCTCCAATTATTGTTTGTGATTACAATCTCTCTCTCTCGTGTTCTCACTCACTGCACAGCAACAGTTTAGCCCTAATGAACCATTGCCAGGTTTCAAAACCTTAATTATTAAGGCAGAAATCATGACAGCGTAGCGTACAGTACAAGTTCAGGCCCAATATTCAGAGCTCTCCGACCTCACGATGGCATATGAGGCAATTACAGCCGTTTCGGTACAACCGAGATATTTCACCAACGAGAACAGTTACATTAAATGCACTTCCACACATTTCCCTGCCAGAAACATGCAAATGCTCGTGTACTGACAGCAGAAACATCTAAAACATGTGCTGTAGTGAGCAGGTCATTATAAGCTGCTCAAACCCACAGTCAGATGCGATTAAGAGAGCAGGAAATCAGCGTCTGTCTCTGTGGAGAGAAACAGGCCGTGCAAAGCCAAGACATTTCATGTTTAAATGAAGTCTGTGCATGATCAAACTTACGTAACTGGATTTTACAGTCTATAATTAATCGAACGGGTGTATTATATACACGAGCTACTTTCTGTTATGATTTGTGAGCTATGTGCATCAGCGTCTGCTTAAATGAATCTTTTTTAGTGTCTTTAAATCAGTGCTGGAATCTGACTGTACAATACTGACATCTAGAGGAGAAAACAGGTCAACACCTGCAGAAACACACCATGGATTTTATCACTTATAGGTTATATTATTAAAACATCTATCTATTAGGGATGGGCAACAAAAAATAAATCGCATCCAAAATAAAAGTTTGTGTTTACATAATATATGTGTGTGTGGTGTGTTTAATTAATTTGTATATATAAATACCCACACATGCATGTATATATTTAAGAAAAATGTGTTATTAATATATCAAATATTTTATATTTATATATAATATTAATTGTGAATAAATATATATAAAATATATATATATATATATGCACATAGTTCTTAAATATATACATGCATGTGTGGGTATTTATATATACAAATTAATTATACACACTACACACACATATATTATGTAAACGTTTATTTTGGATGCGATTAATCGCGATTAATCGTTGCCCATCCCTACTATCTATCATCCATCCATCCATCAATCTATATATTTATTCAGAGAATCCGTTGCTAATTAAATGAACGAGTTTGGATGTGGAGGGATAACTCATAAAAATGATAAAATTCTCTTAAATATTGTAAAAAAATAATGTCAGGATGCACAAAATATGAATATGTTTTCTATATATACTCACCCATTCTCTCACTCACTCATTCACACAAACTCATTAAAAATATTGATATATATTTAAAATTAAAGTTTAATTTAAAACAAAACCTAAAACTTCTTGTGGGTCTCAATTTAATAATTTATTTTAGTTTCATATTATTAAACCTGAAACTTAAACCATAAAAAATGTCGTTACTTGAAATGAAATAAACATTGACTGAAATAAAATTAAATGTATGATGCGAGCTAGTTGCCAAGGCAACATTTGTCATTTTAATTTAGTTTATGTAACTTGATGTACAAATAACAAAAATAAAAATGAATAAACCCTATATAGATTTAAAAAAAAAAAAGAAAATTACCAACACTTTAACTAAAATTAAAAGGAAATAATTCCAAATTTGAATAAAAACTGTGTTCATATTTCAATGATTCTAAAATAGAGTTGATTTAAAAATCTCTCTTTCAGCATCCTAATAAATCAACGGGAGACCTGTAGAGTTGAAAGCGTCTTTACTGTCGTCATGGTAACAGTGACATCAGTGAGGCGTTCTCGGGTCAGGAGGAGATCTGAGTGAATGCACCGAAGATCAGATCTCCTCTTCCCGCTTCAGATCCAGCTCAGCTGCCGGACGGCATTTCCTGAGGGATCGTCACTGTGCCGCCTCACAATCACAACACAAACCCCGACCTAAACCCGTCCTGGTGAACAGCGTTTCTCACAGTCAGAACCCGAACCCGTCCTGGTGAACAGGTTTCGGGTTCTGTGCGGAATTTAGATCCATTTGATGAGACTGGATGTGTAACAATGAATCTCATTAACCAAAAAATTACATTCCAGCTCATTTTTCACCCCCCAAAAACTAAAGAAAATAATTTTTAATTTTAAAAAGAAAATTAAGCCTATTTTAAGACTTACTTTTTACACACATCCTGTTCTGTAAAAATGATATGATCAATAAGTTATGACAACATACTTTCTTTACATTGCTTTAACTCATCAAAATAAGTTAAGTCATTTTCAACTTTTTTAAAAAGTACAACTCCTTTTTTAAGTCAGTTTAATGTAATGTCAGTTGATTTTACTTAAATGTCAAGTTGATTGTACTTAAAAACTTTTTTTAGTGTGCCAAATGGTTATTCAATTCAGTTTTTTTATTAAACGGGCATAAATTAAAGACATTATAACCATGATTAAGTATCCATTCTTTACCATTTTCAGTAATTTATCATTTTTTGGATTTACAATAATGAGAGTTTGGGAGGGAAATGTTCTTAATAAAATAATAAAATAAAAACTGATTTTGAAGTGAAATACGTTCTTGACATTTTCATGAGATTGACGTCTAGAAGTGTGAATGGATCTAGGTAAGTGAAGATGTTGAACAGACAGTGGCCGTGGCTGAGCTGGAATCATAATCAGAGAGCTGGTTATGAATGTGTTATGATGAATGTCTTCCCCGCAGAAGCGCAGTAATGTCCCGATCCAGCTCTTCAAAAGGACAATGAAGATCGTACCTGAAACAGACAATTCAGATGATTCTGTATTTGTTCATATTAAATTGCTCTGTGAAATACTTGATTCTGATTGGTCAGTTTCATGTCTCTCGTAATACACACTCTTTTATTTTGGACATGCAAATCACACTGAGTTTGCGAGCGCATCTCGGTACCGTTTGTAAGGAACCCCGTCTGCAGTGATGAGGAACTTCTCGAAGTTCCACCGGATGTCGTTGACTTTAATGGGGGACCAGTAGAGCTTCCTGATGTCTCCGATCACAGGGTTGACAAACGGAAGAGTTTCCTGGAAGAACAAGGTCACTGTAACTTTGCTCGAACTGAATTACTCTGGCTTAACCTGCAACAGTAGTTTATGAATTTGCTAGAAGAATAGTCATGTGGCGTGTTGTGACCTAAGGGCCCTTTCACACCTAACTTGTTTGGTCCGGACATTCGGACTTTTCAGTTTGGTCCGAATCAAAATTACAGGTGTGAAACCACGGTCCGGACTAAAGAAATAAAATTTGGTCAGATGAAAAGAGGTAGTCGTGGTCCGGATCAAACTGAACAAAGGTTTGGTTCGTTTCTAGAGTGAACGCATTTCTGTATGGTTCGGACTTTCAGACCTTTTACAGGAAGTTCTGGCGGCTCCCAAAAAGCCGAAAAACGTACAATGCAGACACTTTCCAAATATTTGTCGAAGGCCCTGTCCCAAATCGCACACTCCGGACTTCGGTGACGTCATGTAGTGCAGGAAGAGGTAAAAACGCTATAAATACTGTTGGTTTTCTCACACAAACAGCTCGTTTCGTGTCTTAGGCCATCAATGTGTACTTACGTTTACGAGTCATTAAATCATGTTTAATTTGGACATTTAGAAATGACTGACAGACAAGAACGGTTTGACCTAAAAATATCAAAATTAAAAATAATGCGGAAACAAAGACATTGGATGCCCTTGAGGCAAGCTAAAACATACCAAAAATTAATTTCAAAGTGAACTATCACTTAAATTAATTTTCTAAATGTTTAACCTGTTAACTGTCACCCCCCCTTTTTTGAAAAGACATGAAAATGCACATTTCGAACTTAAATGGCTGTAATTCAAGAATGCTTTGGAATATAGACATATGATTGGTCTTGTTTTAAAGAAGACATTTGGCAGATTTTTGTAGAAGTGAAATAAACTAAGAAAGTGAAACAGAAAAAAAGTTATAGAAGTTTGAGTTTATGGAAATGTACAATGTAAAAATATTAATTATTCATATTTTACATAAAATATATATTTTCAAAACCTGGGCTACTCTAAAATGGCAGAAATATCAAAGCCAAAAATCTGAACAAGTTGTGTTTCAAATTTTAGGTTGATATCTCAAAAAATGAGCTTTCAGTAAGATTTTGTTTGAGCGCAGTACCAAACTTTTTCACTAGGGCACAACCAGACTCCATTACTGCCCATATAAGGGCGTCTGCATTTCCATTCGTGTTTTGAGTGATATGAATTATTTTCACAATTTTCATACAATTTCTGAAGTAGAGAGCCTATTCAGAAGTAGCATGGGAAGTTTGACAGATTTTGATATGAATTGAACCTCTAAGAAACACATACAAAGAACACGCATGTAAGTCATAGCTAGCTGCCACGTCACAAATGGTGAATTTATTATTTTTTTCTTGATATTTCAAACTTTTCAGACCTTTTTTTTCCAAAATAATTGAATGGATTCTATCTTTTGAACTTTTGGCATGAAAACAAACTGAGGTATCTACCATTTTTTCATGATTTTTCATGTTTACTGCTATTTTAAAATAAAGGTCTGAACACGCCTTATGAGTATGAAAATATTCTTGTTTTATATTGATAAATTATGGCTCCTCTGTATATATATATTTTGAAAATCAGTCACCAAATATGGAAACTGGAGATTGTAAGCTTTCAAATGATATATAGTTTGTCAATATTATTTAAGGTATTTAGTAAGATATTATTGTTTTAAAAATATAGTGGCAAACGTCCCACCTGTGGGACGGTGACAGTTAAGTGTAGGCTGAATAGATGAGATTCAGGAACCCTCTCAGATCTACTGATAAACTCATTTATGTGACTGTTTTGTTGGATATAAAAAAAAACATTTAAAATGAGAAATTGTGGGGAAGAAATGTCTATAATTGTGATGAAATTCATGTCAAAAAAGTCTTATTCCCGATACGCTGCAGAGTTGAGTGAGCTGATACCTTCAGGAAGGCGTATAGAGGGTGTTCATCTGCGCCGTTCACCTCAATCCTGCTGAACACGGGGAACTGTGGGAGGAAACCTGCTCCTGGTCTCACATACTGCAGGACGTTCAGGATCTCATGGTTCTCCTCTGGGAAGAGCAAAGGGAAAATGAACCTAAACTTCAAAACAGTGTTGAATTTAAAAAGGATTATCTTTCAGGTCTCTGAACTAGGTCGTTTTGAGCCCGTTCTCATCCCAAAGCGCCATATAGACCATTTCACAAGATGTAAACAACACTGGTCCAGAAGCACTTCCTGTTTCAGTTTTGTAACACTACATAAAAGCTGGGAAAAAATACAACCAACAGAACATTTAAAACTGAATCAAAAAGTTAAACAAACATCTTTAAGATGTTTTCTTTACATGTGAAATAAAGAAAACAGTTACAAACTGAAACAGGAAGTGCTTCTGGACCAGTGTTTACATCTTGTGAAATGGTCTATAGGACGCTTTTGCAAAAGCGTAAATATCCAACGCACATGGCACCCTTTAACGTGAAATGAGACGCAGATATATTTGGGCAGAAGGCGCCCCCTAGTGGTCTAACCCTTACCCTACACCATACCTAAACTTAACCATAACCGAAGGCTTTTGCAAAAGCGTTGTATATGGCGCTTTGGGATGAGAATGCGTTGTCCTTTTTATCCCGTGGGGGATACCGTGGTGTATATCATTGGTTGTATTTTGTTTGTATGAGCACACTGAAGGAAATCCCTAACAACTTGTAACGAGTTGTATGGCAATAAAGTATTGAATCCTTGAATCCTTTCTTTAATAAACATTCACTCTTAGAAGAAATGGTTCTATTTAGAACCAGAAATGGTTCCATCCCCCGCTTATATAGAACTCCAAAATGGTTCTATATACTGTAGAACCATTTATTTTTGGTAAAAGTTTCTATTGGCCAAGTATGGAACCCCAGGGTTCTATATAGAACCCAGAGGAACCCTTTTTTTAAGAGAACCTTTTAGGGGTTCCAAATACGTAGCGCTGATAGAACCTTTTATATAGAACCTTTTCTTCTAAGAGTCTTCAATGCTATTGTAGATTCTGACCGTGAACACGAGCCATGACGCGCAGGTCTTACCCGGAGCCTGAAGGCCAAACTGATTGCAGGGGAATCCAAGCACAGTGAAGTTCAGTCCTCCATACGTGTCCATGAGTGCATTCATCCTGTGATACTGCATCAGCATTGCTTTCAGTCATGATCATTTACATACATTTTCATGTGCAAACAAGTTAAATGGTTTTTGATTGACAGCTGCATCACATTCAATTAAAACATTTGATGTAAATGGTTGAAAACAATTCATGTATATTATAATAGTCTCAGAAATAAAGGTAAAAGCTGTCACTGGGGCTGTAGCTTTTCAAAACACACTTTTGTACTTAAAGGGTGCATATTGGTACCTTAATGGTCCATATTAGCACCTAAAAAGTACACTTTTGTGCCTTTTAGGAACTAATATGTACATAATATGTGCTAATACCATTAAAGGAGTAGTTCACTTTTGAAAAAACTTTTTCTGATAATTTGCTTTAAACAAATGCAGATGATGAATAAGGGTCTTATCAAGCGAAACAATCACTCAATTAATAAATAAATAGCAGAGTTTAAGTTTTTTTTTTTAAGCTCAAATGCTCGCCTTGCTCTGTTCTGTAATGCGCGTTCGTGACTCTCCTGTTTATCAAAATGAACAAATCTTTTTCCGAGTCATTTGATTCATTCTACTTACATTTACGAGTCATTAAATCATGTTTAATTTGGACTTCTCTGTGCATGCTCTTTGAGGTGGTGACCATAGACCTGCATTATATGACTGACAGACAAGAACGGTTTGACCTAAAAATATCAAAATTGAAACTACTGCGGAAACAAAGACACATACATCTTGGATGCCCTTGAGGTAAGCTAAAACATATCAAAAATTAATGTCAAAGTGAACTATCCCTTTAAAGGAAAGCAGATGCACCTCTTCGACGGTGGACCCTCAGAAGGTCGCCACGTTCACTATGAGAAGGACTTTTCCTCTGAAGATGTCGAGTGGGGCGGCCTTTCCCTCCAGGGTCTCCATGGTGAAGTCATACACTGAATTTGCAGCCATATTTGCTGTATATTCTCAGTTCCCGTGCACTGGTGTGTATCAGTGACGGTACACACACTAACCTCTGGCTCTCGGCTGCGTTTCATTCAGAGCTCTGGATCTCTTGGCTCAGCAGAGGTTCTGCATGAATGACTCTTTTGTTTTGAGCTCTTCCTGTGTGTTTTTTTTTTGTCCCAGGTTTGCAAAGGCATGCTAACCCTGATGGTCATGTGATGTTCTCATTTCAAAGGCCAGGTGATTGTAAGTGTCATTGACCAACAGAAGTCGCAGCATCAGCTGATCAATCAGGTTTAGGCTATTTATGTTTCTTTGTGTCTTATAGAACACTTAAAAAATAATATAAATGACTCCCATATAAATAAAGCAAACAAAATGCATGCATTTACTGAAGGTTGTTGGTAGCCAATCATATAAATTGCTTATTTTTTTAGTAGCCTAATTTATCTCATGTGGATGTTTGAAGACCTGTCGCTTGGTTTGGTACTTGGCTATCTAAAGATGTCCTTCTTGTGTATCTGTCTGTTTGACTGTCTTTCGATCGGTCTATATATTATTTTATGTCCGTGAACTTTATGTATTTAAGATGCATGACGCTGCTCTTCCAGGTCATTAGATGGCAGCAGTGAGTCACCGTTGAATCCGCATCAGCCTGTGCAGAAGAACCCGGAGGAGCCGGTCAGCTGTTTATCAATCATGATAAATAATGTGCGTGGATCAACGGACACTATCAGCATGGATCAAAAACATGACGAACGCATGCAAAGCCACAGGTATAGACGAATCCGACGAGCGTTCTGTGTAGGCTGCCATCTTGTGGCGACGCCATTACTGAGCTGTTACACAGGCATATAGACATATGCACCGGTATGTAAACAAACCTCGGTGATAACGCGAACTCACCCTCGATGACAGCTACAGCCAGGCAGAATGACTTGTTGGTTTGATCTGTGACTGCAGTGGCCTCCAGTCACAGATGAAGGTACAAACGATCTTACAGATTAACGTTATTTATGAAAATAGCTTGGCAAGCTAGCTAGGCTAACGTTTGCTAACGAGGAAACTATAAAAAGATCTGTCCATTTGGCAACAATAAATAAATAAATTAATGAAATCAAATAAACAAATTCATGTTTTTCATTTGTGTCCATTATTTATCTCATTGTCACATTGCAACAGGCAAGGGTAAGGTAACGTTACAGATAGAAAGTATACATAATATCGACCAATTAGTGTTTTTAAACCATGGAAAGAGGTCAATATAACAGCGGGAGAACAATTATGTCACATAACGTTACATTTAGCTCAGGAAAGCCATTTAATGACCATAGCATGTTAATTTAATAGAAAAAATAGCAAGAGAGGAGATTTTGCTGATCACTATATCACATATTTATTATATTTTTTTTACTTATGTCATTAAATAATTGTTATTATACGCGAATGTCCACGTCTTGTACTCGCCCAGGAAATCTGTAAACCGTACGGCACCAGACAGGGGCAGTTGACCCGGGGTATTCACAGTGTTTCCTCTTCAAAATTGAAATTTTACTGCCACCATTGAAACAATTTATAACGGAAACTGTTTACCCACTCGACATTATACAAGGGATAACGTTGTAACGTTAGTGACAGTCGTAAATCGCGGGCTGTTTATTCCAGTGGACGCAAGTTGCAACTAAAACAATAGGAGGCAATGGCGCAACGCTACCCAGCAACAGCTCAGTAATGGCGCCCCGCTTACTTCCGGTAGTTTCGCCGGATTCGTCTATAGGTTATGAAGAGTGATCCAGGTGTGCGTGGATTTGGAGAAACACGTACGCGCGTTCCTTTGACTAGCATGCGCACAAACAGACGTCTGCATTCAGAAATGCGTCCATGCAAACAGCAGCAGAACATCTGTAACGTTACTGTCCTTATTAACATCATTTTCTATGAGTGGCTGCACTGGTTTGCACGCATGCATGTTGAAAACAGCAGACTTGTTCATATCAACGTTATGTCTGTTAAACTGTTGTTTTGTGCGCGTGAATGTTGATGCATGCTACTCTTCCTGACGTTACGAACACTGTAGTCTTGGTCAACTTTTATAACAGTATGTCTAACACAGTTTCCCATTTGTTTTGTATGCGGGCTGCATGCATTTAATATTTCGTGGCCAATATTTGGCCGTCATTAACATGGTTTTATACATCGGCAATTCAACAACGTAGGATGTTTTTATATATTCAATTCAAATCAAAATTGCTTTATTCGCATGACTTATATTATAATAAGATTGGAATGCATAGACTAATTTTAAAGACATCAAAATAATAACATATTATAACATAATGTAATAATTATGTATAATATTATAACATATTGTTAATTTAAATGTATTAAATTAATTGGACAAATAAACAGTATATATATACGTATATATTAAGGGGATAACTTTGGCCTAACTTTGAAGTGTGCAGTTGTATGTCAGTTGGTGTATTTGATTTCATAATGATATGTGTGTGTTGTGTTGTGACAGGTGTCATCTGCTGGACCTGCCCTGGGAGGATGTATTAGTCACACACGTGTTCTGTTACCTGCCTCTGCGTCACCTGGTCAGCCTGCAGCGCGTCAGCAAGAGCTTTCGTTCGCTCATACAGGTGTACCTGGCCAACTGCCGTAAGTTTGACCCAGCGCAGGTGAGGGAAACAGTTTTGATATGGAGATTATCCGTTCTCTATTGCAGTGGTTCCCAACCCTTTTTTTTTGTATGAAATCCCCCTTTTCCCAAGAAAATATTCAAACAAAATATTGCTTTCAAACAAACGGTATGTGTTTACTATAACCAGATATGATTATGCACAAATAATAGCATATAATATTGAAAAAACAAAAACATCAGTAGGCCCTTTGCAATTTGAAAACGTAAGCCTAGGAGAAGCCTATATATTGGCCCTATTTGAAATGAATAAACAAATATGCACACTGGTGTGTAGGTAAAAAAAAAAAAAAAAGAAAGATAGAATATTATAGGCCATTACTAAATGACTGTTGTCTGGGGCCTCAATACTTGCAAGTTATTTGCGAGGCTTTATTTTTAAAGTTTTTGGCACCCAAGTCCCACTTTGGCAAAAAAATGAATAGTTACAAGTTACTATCTTAAAGGCCACGAGATACTGTCTTGAGGCCACAAGATAGTTATAATGAATTTTTTTGCCAAAGTGGGACTCTGGGGGGGGGGGGGGGGGGGGCTCCGTACCATAGTGGTTTAGGATAAGACAAAAACACGGATTGATGGATTCATGATAAACTCGCTCATTATATAAATTTTGAACAGAAAAAGGTTAAAGGGTAACTAAACCGCTGGTCAGAGCCTGACTCCACCCACTGGCAATATTTAAAAATGCTGAAAAAGTGGGCAGACCCCAGCGGAGATAGAGGGGACGAAATAGATGCTAAAACACTCTATCCTGATCGTTTTCAATACTCACAATTCCAACTCCTGACTGGTTTTGACGACACAAGATGGTTTTTATACTGCCAAGGGCGAGCTGAAACCTGCGTACGTCACGAAGTGCGGAACATCCAATAGGAAAATTCAACTGCAGTAGCCACCGTTCAACCTGAAGAGGGCAGCACTGAGACGTTTTTACACCATATATTGTAGAAATAAAATACTTCACACACAAATGTCAAAAAAGTTACTCGAATCAATAATAAAGATCCATTCTTACAGATCATTAACTAAAAAAAGTTACTCTTTAAGGACTTTTATTTAATCCTCATTGCTCAAAACTTTTAAAAATATGGCGTGACCCCCACAGACGCCCCCTTGTGGGCCGCGACCCCCCTGTTGGGAACCGATGCTATATTGTACGGTATTTCATCAAACTTGGACACTGTCCGTCCTGTGTTTCTCCTCAGACGGGGCCAAACATTCCCAAAGAAGCCTTCTGCTCCATCCTACGCCACAATCAAGTTCTCCACCACCTCTGTGTCAGCAACTGCTCTGATTGGATCTCTGATAAAGAGCTTCTGCCTGTGATTGGTCAGAACCAGCACCTGCTGCGGGTGGACCTGCGCGGCTGTGTTCATCTGAGCCGTCACGCTCTGGTGGCGGTGTCTCTGAGCTGCCCGCGTCTCACACACCTGAGCCTGGCACACTGCGAGTGGGTGGACAGCCTGGCGCTGCGCAGCCTAGCGGATCACTGCTCGGACCTGCGCTCGCTGGACGTCACCGCCTGCCGACAGCTGAAGGACGAGGTGGTGTGTTACGTGGCGGGGAAGTGCCCGGCGCTGCGCTCGCTCTCGGTGGCGGTTAACGCTAACATCACGGACACGGCGGTCGAGGAAGTGGCCAAGAAGTGCCGAGATCTGGAGGAGCTGGACCTCACCGGGTGCCTGCGGGTGCGAAACCAAGCCGTCAGGTGTGTGTGCTGACGTGATTTGGGGAAACTAATTTAATTGCTTTTTATTTATTTATTTCCTTGGGAAAAAAAAAAAAAAAAAACTCCAGATCATTCTTATTTGTAAGACTGCACAATTCGGTCAAGAATGTTGTCTTATTTATACATAATCACAATATTTTGGCCAAATCGTCTTATTTTTTCTTGTATATTTTTCTTAAATACTTGAGTTTCTTATTGTACAGGGAAATACTGAAATTGTAATATTTATTATTTTGTTTATTATTTATTAATTGTTTATTTGTGTGTTTAGGACGTTAGCCGAGTACTGCCCCAAACTGCGGTCGCTCAAAGTCAATCACTGTCACAACGTAACCGAGTCCAGTCTGGGTGTTCTGCGGCGGCGTAACGTGGAGATCGATGTGGAACCGCCCCTACAGAGGGCGCTAGTGCTTCTGCAGGACGTCGTGGGATTCGCTCCGTTTATTAACCTGCAGATTTAAAGGAGTAGTTCACTTTTGCTGATAATTTACTCACCCCCATGTCACCCAAGATGTCCATGTCTTTCTTTCTTCAGTCGAAAAGAAATGAAGATTTTTGATGAAAACATTCCAGGATTTTTCTCCATATAATGGACTTCAATGGGGTCCAAACGGTTCAAGG